TTTTGTTTAATAAATGAATACTATATATTAAAATTTGTATATTTTGTTTTTTTCAAAAATTATAAGCCATTTTACTTTTAAATATGTATTTAAAAGTTTTTTAAACTATCAAAAATAGCCGAAAATTCTAATTTCAACCAATTTTTGGTGGTAGTGCTATCTTATTTATCGCAGCTATATATATATATATATATATATATATATATATATATATATATATATATATATATATATATACATATATATATATATATATATATATATATATATATATATATATATATATATATATATATATATATATATATATATATATATATATATATATATATATATATAATTATATAATATATGTATATATATAATATCTAACTAAAGTATATACACATATAAAAATTCTAACCTTTCTGGAAAAAAGCTGACTTTTACTTTTTTGCTTAATTATTGAATCAGAATCAGAATCTGAAGCACTGTCATCGCTAAATTGCGTAGGAAGTAAATGTTCAGTGCTTAATTCACCAAATTTATGAAGTTCTTCACAGATTATCATACATACAGATTTTTTAGCCAAGTCTTTGGTAGACTTCTGTTCACCCTTATTGTTTAAAAAAAAGTGAATATATATATATATATATATATATATATATATATATATATATATATATATATATATATATATATATATATATATATTCCTTGAGTTTCACATAAATAACACTGTGGTAAAAAAACAGCTCTTAATGACTCTTTGTATTTAAAAAAGTTCACTATATAAAATCAAGCACAAAATGAATTAGACTTTATATAAAAACCATCAAACTTAATTGAGGAAATTAATTATTTTGTTTTTTTTTTTTTAACACAAAAATGCAAATTAATAGACTAGAGAGTTTTATTTTTATATTTTTACATTTTTACATAAATCCACTGACAATCAGATGCAACATGCAAAAAGTGCTGCTAAAACAACTGACAAATAAGTAAAGAGTCCTATTACATCGAATGACCAATGGAGGAAACATGCGAGGAGTACTGCTAAATGGACTGACAAATAGGTAAGCATGCAAAAAGTGCTGCTAAATCAACTGAGGTTTTTAGTTTTGGCAAGCAATCTACCAATTAAACAATTTTTTCGTCTTTTTAAATTAATGTTTTTAAAAAAAAAACGTAGATTTTATCTTAAAAATTAAAGACAACCATGCAAGAGTATATAAATCTATATATATGTATATAAAAATATATACATATATATATATATATATATATATATATATATATATATATATATATATATATATATATATATATATATATATATATATATATGTATATATATACTATATGTGTGTATATATATATATATATATATATATATATATATATATATATATATGTGTATATATTAGAGATGCCACGAATATTTAACAACTACTCGGTATTTGGTGTATTCCACAACATTTTCGTTATTCAGTATGCAGCCAAATATTGCAAATTATTTGGCCTAATACAGAATACTAAAACATGAAAAAATCGCATTAGAAATAGATTATATTACTATATGTTACTATAATAATACAATAAACAGAATAATCAAATAATAAATATATTATATATATAAGATTCTTTAAATCTCAAAATTTTTAATCTCTATTTTTTTGTAAATTCTTCGAATGATTTATGAAGTTTGATACATTGTTCCATTAACTCCCATTGGGCAGGTGTTAAGTTGTTTAAAGAATCATCAGTCATATATACAACAAGACAGCTCACTTTTTTTCTAATAATTGTTCCAATAAATAGTATGTTGAATTTCAGCGTGTGCTTATGCCTTGTATTAATTAGAGTTCTGGCAGATTAAGTTCTTGACAAATGCATTTTTGTTTTTTTTGTGCTAAACTAGAGTGATTAAAATGGGTGACAATTTGTCTTGCAGCAGCTAGCATCTGTGTTATTTCTATTTGAGAATTTAGCAATGCATTGACAACCACTTGTAGTAAATGAATAAAATACTTGGCATATTCTGCATCTCTTACACCTATCATATTGGCTCCACTGTCATGGTCAAGAAAATGGATCTTGCTATGTGGAATGCTCCATCTTTCTGCAATAGTATTGAGTTCTTTTGCGATATTGGTACCAGTATGTAAACCAGAAACAACTTCATTGCTCAAACAGCATAATCAAAAATAAAATCTGCAGATTTCCAATGCATATTAAAACTTAAAAAACTTTGTTGTTCTGACATGTTCACATGTCATATGTCACAAATACTGCTGTTACTTGTGTAACTGTTTCAATATTAGTGCAAATTTTATAAAATGTATCAGGAACAATCTTTTCATTCGTTTTTTCAGGAGGTGCAATAAGGTATTTTTTATTGTAGTACTGCCTTTTTCATAAGCTTATTGAAGTCAACTTATTTAACAAGTGGTGATGATTCGTTGTCTAAAACAATCATTTTATTGACTTTACATCATTAATATCCCAACGCAATTTCCTTTGTCCAACTGTCTCTTTAAGAGTTAACTGTTTCTTTTTTAACATACCTGTTATTGCTGGTATATTAGAGTCGTTATAAGTTGGTGAACGTTTGCTTCCTTTTGCTGGCGGAGTTTTAGTTAAATTAGTGTACTGCTAAGAAAGCTTGTTTTAAAAATGGTTTTTCAGAGAAGATGTAGCTGGAAACAAAAAATAGTATTTAAACTTAACTTAGAGTAAATAAAGTACCTACTGTGAAAAAAAAATAGCAATGAAAAAATTTCCAGCTTAAATAATTTGTTTTATATAAAATATATTTAATTTGTTATAATATACTTGATAGTTTTACTTGCTTTCTTTCTTTCTCCACCTTTCACAAGATCTTGTTTTTACACAGCAAACAAACTGGTAGTTATTATTATTTCCAAATAAGTAATTTTTTATTATTTATATGCCATTTTTAAAGCTTTTTGAAAACAAAAATTTGAAATAAGACAACTTTTGTTATTTATTGTAGTTTTTCGCAAACAACAACCAACAATCAAATACGAAGTCTTTTATGTTTACTAAATTAACTTTTCGATTTAAGTAGCTTCTAAAGGATAGTTAATTATTAATTTATTTTTATGTATTTTAATAAAAATATTTGAGGTCTGTAATTTAAAATAAATTATCGAATTTGCAATTAATGAATTGCATTTAGTAAATTTAATTCATTTATTTTCAAACTCTAGTGGTATTTATATTATAAATAAATTAAATACTAATAAAAAACTGCAAACAACGCAATTACCACTAAATGCTCTAAACTATAGAATTACACTTTTTGTGTTATATTATGTATCTACGTAACGGGTTGTAAGAAATACAACCTGTATAAAACAAAGTTTGATGTAACAAATAGTCCACAAATAACATGCCAAAATATGCAAATAAAACAAATAGGCAGAATATTTGGCTATTCAAAGAAGAGTCCACTCGTATAATCAGTTTTTAGCAAAATCGCTATTTATATATATGTATATATATATATTATATATATATATATATATATATATATATATATATATATATATATATATATATATATATATATATATATATATATATATATATATATATATATGTAAGTATGTTTATATGCATATGTGTATATATTTATATATATATATACATATTTATATATAAATACATACATATATATATATATATATATATATATATATATATATATATATATATATATATATATATATATATATATATATATATATGTAAGTATGTTTATATGCATATGTGTATATATTTATATATATATACATATTTATATATAAATACATACATATACATGTCCATCAAAAACAGTTAATGTTTTTCTTGGTAATCAGTGCTAGTTAAAATGACACAAAAAAGTACAAAGTTCTTCCTTTAATAATATATCCTTAGGGGCAAATTGTCCCCATACACATGTTTATATTAATAGCACAGCTGTTACTTAAACAATTTTTTTTTTTGCAATATTTGTTTTATTTGTTTCACTTCTTGAATTTTCACACTAAACAGTAGTTTAAAGTAAATAATATTATTTTCAACTTATTGCAAGTATTGCCTCCCAAACAATAATGCCCTTGATAGGATACTCTGCAGATGTTTATTGGAGACAGATATCATTTGACAAACTGTAACCCACACTCCTTGTTTTCAAACTAACTTTTTTTCTTTAAAACTTTGTCTACAATACCTAACAGTACATGTAGATTGGGAATATTTACATGTATAATAGTTTTGTGTCAGTATAATAGTTTTGTGTACACTTGAACCTTTAATATCTTTGAACCCATATCCGTCACACTTTCTCAATTTACTTTGGATTTTATTATTTTTTAACTCTGGTTTTAGAGTGATTGATAGAGTAACTTTAAGGAATACTTGCCTTCCATCATAACCTAATTTGATATCAACATTATTTGTTTAATGATGTCTGTGAAAAGCACGATTGCTACAAGATTTTTTTCTACCAACTATACTTGCATAAAAAATCAAAATGAATGATACAGATTGCATTCTAGCTATCTAAAAAAATTGTAGGTAATAGATTATTTACCTCTTGGTTTTCATTTACTTCTAATAACAATGGGAACTTATCATCATAAAATAATTTTCCAATCAGCTTGTTGTTCTCAGTCACTTTAATATGGAAACCAGATTCTACACTTTTCCAGCTCTTTCACTCCTCAGAAAGTGTGCTACTTAAATCATATTGCGATTACTTAGAAGTAAAAACAAATTTATCTAAAAAATTGGCTTTAAACTCATAAGTAAATTATAAAAAAAAAAATTTAACCATCAAAACCTCACCTGGTATGCAATTTTAGTTGTTCAATTTATCCAAAGAAAAGGTTTCTTAACCTCAATCTTTCCAACAGAAACAACAAGTTTTGAGCCAAAATTTTTCAAAACTTAAGTGTTCCATTATCCTTAAGTCCTTAATCCTTAAGAAAAGTCCTTAATCCTTAAGGATGAAAGTGATTCATTTGTGCTCAAACCTTTAATAGAACTGGAGAGAACTTTTACGTGTTTTGTAAGGGATGTTGATCTTACAATAGTAGTCGAACTTTTTTGCTTTTCTAACTTTGTACAGGGATGTGGAGCAATAGCAATCTTGAAAAATAAGTTTGTTTGCAGCTTTATTTGAAACCAGGGTTGAAAAAAAACGTTTTTTCTTAAAAAACCAAAAGCCATGGATTTTTTTTAAAAAAAACAACAACAAAAAAACCATGGTTTTTCAAATTTAAACTCCTTTTTTTTATAAATACGTCGTGTTTAATTGACTTTTTCCATAAAAAAAAGCATTAAGCATTTCATTTGAGTAAATTATACCTTTTGTCAGTAAATTACTGATATAATTCATCAACCAATACACAATTATTTAATGTTCTGTATATAATTTAAACTTTAATTCAAATAAAACTCAATTTTTTCAGCCAATCATTATCATAATAATTTAGACCTTCCTATATTTATGAGTGGCAATGTACTTGATGAGTCATCTACCCTACATTTTCTAGGATTAAATCTTACTTCCAATCTTACTTAGAAACCATATATCAAATCTGTTTCAAAATTAGCATCTGCTAAGGTTGCATCATCGGTTGCATCGGTAGCATCTGCTAAGGTTGCATCATCAAATTCAACACTTTTTTACTCCAGATTCTATTCTCTATCTTTATCTCAAATCTGGCCTTGTATGAAATACTGTTGCCATATCTGGGGTGGATCTTCTACTAACCCCCTTTTAGACAAGGTGAAAAAACGCATTGTTAACATAATTGGATCTGCTCTTGCAGCCAAACTTTAACCATTATCACATCGTCATGATGTTGCTTCCCTTTCTCTTTTCTACAAATACTATAATGGGCACTGCTCTAAAGAGCTAGCGACTCTTGTGGCATCTACTAAAGTTCATTTTTGTGTTACTCGTCATTCAATTAAGTCTCATCCTTATTCTGTGATTGTTCTTGAGTGTTCCAAAAACTATTATTCGTCTAGTTTTTTCCTGGAACATCAGTTTTTGGAATTTGCTTCCTTCATCTTGCTTTCCTGATGCATATAATTTTTAATCTTTTAAGTCGTCTGTCAATCCTTATCTTGCTCTACAATCTTTATCTTTTCACTTCCAGTAACTTCCAACTCTAATTAGTGGTTGCTTGCAGCCTTGTTGGAAGTGAAGATGTTTAAAAAAAAACAATCTCCCTAAGGCCACTATAGCCAAGGAGGCTACTTCAGTTGTGGTTACAACCCTATCTTAACTCTATAACTCTGAAACATAAACATTGACAAACAGGGCTGCTGCATGGAGAAACAAGTTTAGCGTGGTAATACCAGGGTTTTTCTGAAACACATTAAACTATAATGGCCAATATTTTTTTCATTTTTGATTTGCACACATCACATATAAAATGTTCACATTTTCTCCCTTTGATAACTATGTTATTCAGGCCTAAATTTCAAAGTGTATGTCTACTAACAATAGTTGTCATAATGACTTTCAAAAGAATATAAAAAAATAATAACTAAACCTTAACCTTACTAAATTATAACTAAAGTATATTATATATAAATATGTATATTTTATCTTCATGACATTTTGAGCAAAGCATGGAAGGAAGGTCTAAGTTATTAACTGAATAATCTTTGCAGAATATAGTTTTGATAAGATTTGAGTAGTCTTTTTTCTTTTTATTTAGATTTATATATACTGTTTCATTATTACTTATAGATCTAAATCCTTGCCTTTCCTGAAACAGCAAATGCAAAACATTTTTACAAAATCAACATATTCTTTGGCATGATTAGACATTTTAAATGAACTCTTTAAATAAAAAATTCTGATATGCATATATAATATTAACATGATATATCAACCCTATTAATAAAATTTTAATGTAATGATCAAAATCATGTTTTCAGTTCATGAGCCAACATGTGTAAAAAGTTATTATTTCAATTATTAACAATTAATGATGGCTAATCATTGTTAATTGTTAGTATTTGAAGCAGTAATTATAATAACTGAACTCTAATAGCAATTACTGAAATAGCAATACTAATAAGTAGTTAATAAAGTTAACAGTTAACAGTTTGACAAATTTCAATTTTAAAACTCAAAAAACATACTCACGAGCATGATTTAAAACAATTTTGCTGTGTTAGAGAAGATCTTCCAATCTCTATGCAACCCCAACCCCACCCCTAGCCTATAGTTCCTAAATGGAATTTAAAATTTTTTTATTTTAGAGTTATATTAAACTAGATTAAAATTTGTAAACAGATGTCAATTTTCATTAAAAAAAAGTTTCTCATTTAAAAGTTACAACCATTCAAAAAAATTTCAGTGAGTAAACGAGAGGAGCTTTTAAACTTCTTTTGATAATTAATCTTACACATAAGGAAATTTTTTGATAAAATTTGAAATCTTTTGAAAAAATTTGATCTAATTCACGATAGAATTTCAAAAAATTAAAAATTTTTTTTTTTTTGCTATGTGTTGCAAGGTCTTAGAGCACGTTCCTATGCATTGTGATATAATATTTTTTTATCTAAAAAAATACCTTATAAATTCTTTGGGGTAATGAGCAATTTAACGGAAGCATACATTCTGCACAAAATTGATTTTTTAAAACATGGTATAGGAATTTAGGATTGGTTTTACAAAATTGATCTGATGGCAACCGTGAACAATATCTAAATATATTTAAAAAGTCAAATGTTAAAAATCTCTTTAAAAATTATGTCCATATGATTATAAAGTATTTTGAAATTAAAAACTTTACCTGTATAAAAGAGAAACAGCATTATCTTTCGTTATTCGTGGAGCATCATAACCATTATGCGAAAAATATACGGGAAGATCTTCATCTTCTTCATCCATCATCTCAATTTCAATTTCTTCATCTGTTGGTAGAACACGGTTTTGGCATTGTTCAAACAGGATTTCCTCAATTTGTTGCATGACCTTTAAATACAAATCAATATGAATTACAGTAATAGAAACTAATATACACATATTTTGATATATAATGTAAAATAATTTAATTGAAACTTTAAAGAATTTTCTATTTTCCTAACTTTTTATACAATTGAAGACAACAATTAATATTTGTGGCTACGGTAAAATAACTTAAAACATTAAAATAATATTATTAATAATGTTATTAATTTTTTTTTTCTTTTAACTTCTTCACTTCCAACAAGAAGAAATGATGTTCAAGGAAAAAGCTGGACAAATAAAAATTTTTAAGGCATTTAGGAACAGTCATGGTGAAAAGATGAGAAAATAAAATGACAAGCAACACAAGAATGAATTTTAGTAGTTGGCACAAGAGATGCTAGCTCTTTTAATTATCACATTAGGACAATGTGATAATTGTTGGAGGTGGGCTGCAACAGCAGGTTTAACTATATTTACAATGCGTTTTTGCACCTTCTCTAAGACAGAAATGGCATCATTGGAAGATTTGTTGCAGATATAGCAACAGTATTCCATACAAGAACGGATTTGAGATTTATAGAGATAAAGAATAAAATCTGGAGTAAGAAAGTGTTGAGCATGATAAAGAGATGCAAGCTTAACAGATACTAATTTTGCAATTGATTAAATATATGGTTTCCAAAAAAAATTGGAAGTAAGAGTTAATCCTAGAAGATGAAAAGTAGATAACTCATCAAGTACATTATCGTTCACAAATACAGGATAATTGCAATAACGATTAGCAATAATCTAGATCTTCCAAAATAAAATTCAAGATGATCTAGATTATGATGAAAAAAACTGAGTCTTCTCTGAGTTAAAGTTCATCAGCCACTGTGAGCCCCATGCTGTAGCAGAAATGAGATCCTTTTCAAGCACAAATGCCCCCTCCAAGCAATCAGAGAGTGTTCATATTAAGACAAGAACAAATGGTAGTATTATCTGCCTTAGATGTGAGAATATCCAGAAGATCGTTATTGTAAATTAAAAAGAGTAGGGCCTAGGATAGAACCTTGAGGAACCCCTGAAGTTTAAGTATATGAAGAAGAGTGCTGTCCATCAAGGACAACTTATATACTACAATTGGAAAAGAAAGATTCAATAACCTTAAAGAAGTTATCTGATACACCATATGAAGAAAGCTTATGAAGAAGAGTAGTATTCCAAACTTTATCAAAAGCTTTAGAACCGTCAGGAGTGACAGCGTTAACTTCTCTACCTCTATCTAATGCATAATAAAACTTATCAGTTAGTCAGATCGCTTTTCAGAATTTTTAAAAATAGGGATAACTGATGTTGCTATTTAACAGGCTGGAAAACAAGACTCTGATAAACACTTGTTGAGTAGTTTTGAAAGTATAGATGACAGCACCAGAGAACACTTCTGCAAAACTATAACAGGTACTATAACAGGACGATAACCAGACCACAAGCTGTAGAAGAGTCATTGCTTGACATTCATATCTAGTGATATGAATGTCAAGCAATGGATCAACCTGTTTGTTGGCTATATCAGGTAGAATGCAACTAGTGGAGTCAAGAGATGATATTGATGAAAAACAATCCAAGCTTTGTCTTTAGGTGAGGTGACAAAATCTGAACCAGGCAAGAGTGGTGGAACAACAGATTTGCCCTTATTATTGACTCCAGAAGTCACAAAAGCCTAATTTTTTATATGAACTACAAGATTTTGTGATCTGAGAATAGCAGGCTTTGGTGTTAGAAAAAACATTTTTACAATGGTTTCTAGCAATAGTAAATAGAAGTCTGTTTTCTGAGAATTGTTATGCTGATAGATAAAAGTAATACTTACAATTGGAAATTGCAGCAGCTCAATTCGAGGAAAACCATGGAGAAGAGTGAGGATTGACATAGAATTCGAGAGGAATAAAAGGTTCCATGCTAGTCTGAATCCAAGAAGTTACATAAGAAGCACATTTGTCAGCAGGAAGATGAAAGAAAGACCCAAGGGCCATCACAAAAAAAAATCACGGAAAGAGTCCCAGTCAGCTTTAAGGTAGTTGTAAGAGATCTGATGATAGCGGGATTTAAATGATGAAGAAGAATGAGATAATAGTTTTAGAGAGACCAAACTGTGATCAGAAGCACCTAAGGATGAATGTGGAGAAACTGAGCACTGGTTAGGATTAGAAACAAGACGTAAGTGGAGTAGAGAAGGTAAATGATCCAGATTATCAGGAAAACGAGTTGGAAAATTCATTATTTGAGTTAGAGATTGAAAAAGACAAAAGTTGAAGGCCTCAATGCCTGCAGAGTCACTGACCTAGAGCCAAAGCCTTTCAGTGTGATGAGCATTAAAGTTACCAACAACGATATTGGCTGAAGGATAAAGAGAGAGGGCTTATTCAACTTTATCAGAAATAAAATCAAAAAGAGTGCTGTATTGAGATGAAGGAGAATGATATAGAACAAAGAGATAAACAATAGAGTGAATTGGTGCTAAACAAAAGCACATAAAAGAATAGCCTGTGGATTCAAACCTAGTTTACCAACAAATGGGTGAATTCTTACAAATGTAGATGCCCGGACCAAGCATGTGAATATTGGGGTCTTTATGAATTAAAGGAAGATAATCATCAACATTTAGATTACAAGATGAGACAGCCAAAGTCAAATTAGTCTCACAAAGAACAATTATATCTGGTGAACTTTGCAAGAGATAGGATTCAACAGATAAAAAGTGACGATAGTTTTTTGAGTTTTATAGTTTTTGGTACTTTAGTCATTTTTAAATTTGACTCAAATTGCTTGGACAATTAAATACTTTATTTAATATTCCAAGCAATTTCTTCATTACTATTATCAAACCCTAAGCCGTAACAAAGGGCTCCAAATATTGCCTTAACAATGAAACACACCAATATTGGCTGAATTATGACCAGGGACACTATCCATGAGCAACCTGACACTGTTAGTACTCTGATATTCTACAGCTGTTGATGAAATCAGCTTTTCTGAGACACAGAGTTTGGGAAACCTGACTACCAGCTGGCCTCAGAACCATAAAACTGTGTTTTAGAGCTGTTCCCTAATTAGGAGATAATAGAATGAGTTACCTAGTCATAAAAACAGATACACAAGCAAAACCCATGCATTGAGTCAAGAAGATCAAGCATTCAACATCCTAAACTGGAAACAATGTATTATAAATATATCTGTGCCAGATTAATAAATGAAGAAGGGGTGCAGGGTTGGTCAACAGATAGAATCTGTTTACCCCTTAATTGTATATATGGTATTATTATATTAAAATAATGTATATTATAAGTATGTATAGTATTATTTTATAATAATAACATTAAAAGTATTGTCATTTTTATATTGATTTCAATAAACTTATTCTGAAATAACTTAATTATATCAATTAACTTAATTATACATCAATATGCTTAAATATAATTATAATAAGCCTTTCCATTTAAGTGAGTGAACTTTTTTGTTTAGTTTTCAAATTAGAAATTGAGACTTGAAGCAATATACATACTATTATTGTTATCTTGAACAATTATAACAAAATATTTTATTCAAATTTCAGGCAACTTGAATGTTTAAATATCTATATTGCTTTTTATAATTTTTGTGAGTTAATGTTGCAAAAATTTTAAAAATATAGAATGATTTTCTAAACACTATACTCCAGCTAGAAATATTTGATGACTGCTATTTCTCATTGAAAATATAATTTTATTAGTTGTAGAAATATTTCACTTGAAATAATCACAAGAAACTTATTTTAATAAAACATAAAATCAAAAAATTTGAAACTTTTAGGCATAAACTGCATTTAAACAATTGTTATGACTCGATGATACATAGTGCAATCCTGTAACTTTCTGGAAATCTTTACTAATATTTAAATATTATTTAAAAAAATAAGTATACTGCTAAAATTTATATATATTCTGAGGAATTAAAGTTTATTTATTTAGTAACTAAAATTTGCAACTTTCTGTTCCGAACATGATTCTGTTTCAAACTTAATTTATTCTTTGATAATATTACTAACATATACAATTCTTTGTTTAAAAAAATAAAAAAATTTAATAAGAACTTATTTTACTTACTATATGCTGTTTCTTGGTGTCAAATTCTTGTCCTTCTTCTGTCATAATAATAAATTTAGATCCACTTGCTCGTGCTCTTCCCTTTGATTGAGCATATTCTCTATAATTATTTATACCATCAAAACGTACAACCAAATTACATTTACGAACATCCAGCCCCTCTTCAACAACACTGGTTGACACCAAAACATTAAACTTATCCTGCTTAAAATTTGATAAAATCAAATTTTGTTTTTCCGATCTCATTGAACCATCTACAAGACAGATGTTAGAGTCAAAAGCATGTCCAAGAACAAAGTCACTATTCAAACCTTTATATGTTTCGTCCTTCTCAACTTGATAATTTATTAACTTGCTGAGCACAACCGCAGTACATCTTCTTTGTGTAAACACAATGGCATGTAATTCTAAAAATTATGAACTAAATTATGAACTAATAAAACTAATATATTTTTAACTAACAAAACAAAAATTAAATATTTTAATTAAATTATTAAGTTAAATATTTTAATTGAATTATTAAGTTGAATATTTTAATTGAATTATTAAGTTAAATATTTTAATTTTATTAAGTATTGAAATTAACCAATTGTAATATGAAATTATTAAATAAATTAAAACAAAACTTAATTGTGAGTAATAAGAAGTAATAAAAATAAAATTATAACAATAAAATATTTTATATAAAAATCTTTTCAAATAATTTAATATAATTAGCTATCACACTTTTTAAATATCATTTAATAAAATTTAGCAATTAGCATATAAAACATGGTTAATTATTGCTCTAGATATGGGTTGTAACTTGTTTAATGAACTTAAATTTATTAAACAGCGAGGATTGTGTTTTTTTTTCATGTCATTTTATAACCACTGTAATATAATGATGATTATAAGGCTTATAAAATGGTTATAATACAGGTTTGACAAGTAATTAGGATGTTATTTGGAAAATTTATATGCTAAAATTTCATAAAATTATTTCAATTTTAAAAAAGTGTTTAAAATAGTTTTTTTTATTTATGATACGCTACTTTTATTGCTAGAGGGTTATTGAAGTGAAAAGTTTGAATGAGAAAAAAATTTAAAGCAAATTTTTTCTTTAATCCTTTCATTTTTCAATACTCCCAGGTTTTTATCTTTGCTTTAAAAACGTTTAAATAAATTTACTTTTTATTATAAACTCAAAATTAAAAGTTAATAAACTATTAATAATTTTGTATTACTAATTTAATATGGAAAAATCACAAAAAACTAACAGTTATAACTAATTTTAATAATCACAAAAAATTAACAGTTATAATTAATTTTAATAATTACAAAAAAATAACAGTTATAATTAATTTAATAATCACAAAAAACTAATAGTTCTATTTGTGTTAATAAGTTTTAGCAAAGAATAAAAAAAAGTTCAAAAAGTTCAAAAAGTTCTCGACCAAGAGGTAATCCACTGTTATTCAGAGTAGTAGCTCTTTTATCAAATATAAAATTTTAGATTGAGCAATTTGTAAATAATTGGTGATAATGAGCACACATTATACAGCCAAACAACTTGCAGCTCTAGCAGCCAACTGGCCAGGCTTAGGTCAAGGTAATCATTTAGCTGCTTCTAAAAAGCTTGATGCTACAATATCAAAACTAATAGTCACAATCAGCATACTTCTCACCCGCGTATCTGTTCTTGAAAACAAAAACATTACTCTTAAAGCATATCACTCTCAACAACCAAAGTTAGCACCTACAAGTTTGACCACAACTCTCAACTGGGCAAGCGCAGTCAAGAACGGTTCAGAAGCCAATAAAGCAATTATCACAGGAAAATGCCAAAATTGTAGAAACAAAATTTAAAAGAGCTATAGTTGCAGGTCTTCCAAAATCTTCTAACAATAATCAGAGGCTAATCTCAGTTCAACGTATGCTCAAAAAGCTTAACTATAATGTTGCTTTTAAAGTTGTTGGGCATTTCTCAAAAAAGTTTGACAATACCACCAGTTTAACTACAATAGCAGCTGAACCTAATGAATTGATTATCATTGAGTTTGACTCCAATGAGCACCGCAATGATCTCTTATCTAATGCAAAACGACTTGCCTCAATAGATGAATTAAAATCTGTTTATATTTGTCCAGATTGTACATCTCTCAAACAAAAAACACTCAACAACTTAAACAAAAAGCGTGCTACCAAAAATGCAGAACTATTGGGAAAAGATTTACTTGATAAACCCTTTTGATTTGCAACAAAATTAAATGCATTGACACATCCAAAACAGTTAACATCAATGGAAGAGAGAGGAACCCATACCTCAAATGGAAATCAGCAGCTGAGGCCATTCAATTGCTCTCAGCATCTTACTAGTTCAACATTTTTAAACAAGACCAGCTCTTCCATTAAATTATCTAATCTTTTGTACTTCTACACTAATACAACCTCCCTCAATCCAATAAAACTCATCGAACTCTCCTTACTTGCAGAAAACAACTCCATTGACATTATTTTTATAACCAAGACATGGTTCAACGACCAATCAACTCTTTGTCTTCCAAACTATAACCTCTATTGTTCAGACCATCTGAACCAAATTGGAGGAGGTGTAGCTATATACACAAACAATAAAATCATCTCAAACCAACTACAGGAATCCCTACTACACAAAAATTTTATTTGTTACTAATCAGAAAATTATGGGTCGAACTAAAGCTTCTGAATGAAACTCTGCTTTTAGGCTGCATTCATAGACCTCCATCTTCTGGTATTGAAGTCTTCTCAGAGATTTCAAGTGCTATTTTCCATGCGGAGACATTATCTACCAAAAAATACAATAGTATGATCATTGCCGGTGATTTCAATTTCCCAGAGATTACTTGGACTTTCAATTCAGTCTTCTCCTCTAGTAAAATCGATCTCAGTTCTTCATTTGTCTCTCTTCTTCAAGATCACCAAATTTTCACCAAATTGTCACTGTCCCTACTTTCAAAATTGCTAGTCCCCCAATGACAAACACTCTTGATCTCATAATATGCGACTCTACATATCGTGCTAACGAAATCAACATCGGTCCTCCACTCGGTTTGTCTGATCTATCACTTGGCAAATCAAACTGGTTTCCACCAGAAAATTATCGCATTTCAACAGCTCTAAATTTATTTACAACCTCTGTAACTACAAAAAAATTAACAAAGAGTTTAATAAGGTTGAATGGTCATCTATTTTTAAAGACTTAAAAGTAGAACAATGTTACCAAATTTGGCTAAACAAATACAATGAATGTTGTCTTCAATTATTCCCTTGCATGCCGAACAAGCCATCCCTAAATAAACAACCATAGATGACAAAAGAACTTTTAACCCTGATTTGTCTTAAAAAATCGCTGTGGGCTTGTAACGTCGGTTCAAAATGAAAAATCACATCCATGGTTAAGGAATATAGAGAAACTACAAATTTTGTTAAAAAATTAAGTCGTTCTTCTCTGAAATCTTTCATATTTGTTCTTGCAAATGATAAGCACAACCCTAAAAGACAATTTTCATAAATAAATAGTAAAAGCTCTGTAATAAATCAGATCTCATCTATGAGAATCACCAGTTCCAGTGAAATCATTACCTCTGACAAAATTAAAATAGCTAACTCACTTAACAATCAATTTCAAGCAGTTTTTAGCAAAGAGCCATCCAATTGTAATCTTCCCATTTTGATCGTAGAACTAACACAATCCTCAACAACATAACTTTTGACACTCAGGCCACTCTAATGGAACTCTCGTCACTAGATATATCTAAATCACTTGGTGTAGACAATGTCAGTCCTCACGTTTTACGCTTTTGTTCTTCCTCAATGTCTACTCCACTTACTCTCATCTTTCAAAAGTCATTTGGCAATGGTGAAATTCCAAACTCATGGTCCAAAGCAAATGTAACACCTTTATTAAAGAAGAGCTCCAGAATCATCAAACTACAGACCAATATCTCTCACCTCAATACCATGTAAAATAATGGAGAAACTAGTTGAGAAAGCAATCATGCAGCATCTAAAATCAAACACTCTTCTATCAAATAGTCAACATGACTTTTTAGAGAAAAATGCATGCATTGCAAATCTCTTTGAAACAATGGACTTCTTGACTGGAAATATGGCCAGAAAACTACCAGTTGATATCATACTCTTGAATTTTTCCAAAGCATTTGACAAAGTGCCACATTAACAAATGCTTTACAAACTAAAATTGTACGAAATCAAAGGTAATCTTCTCAATTGGATAAAAGCTTTTCTACTTAACAGGTCTCAACAAGTCATTCTTGGTGACATTTAACCGAATTGGTTACCTGTAACAAGTGGGGTTCCGCAAGGATCAGTCTTTGGTCCAATTTTATTTATCATTTTCATCGACGATCTGCCGGATGTAATAAGCAAAGAAAACATTTGTAAGATCTACGCTGATGACACTAAAATCCTGAACATTGTCAACTCACTTGCTGCTCAACTTTAACTCCAATCAGATATTGACCAAATTGTTCATTGGACTAAGTCTTGCTTCATGGAGCTAAATATAAAGAAATGAAAGGTCATGCACTTTGGCCAAAAAAAAATTAACTAAATGGAGGAAATGTGCCCTTGTTCAATAACAACTCAAACTAAATTGGAAGCAACCGCCTCTGAGCGTGACTTGGGAATTCAAATTCCAATGACCTTAAAGTAAAAACCCAATCAATCATTGCCTCATGTAAAGCAAATAAAACACTAGGCATCCTAAAACACACTTTGCAATTTCGTAATGCTTCTTTATGGAAACAACTCTACTCCACCTACATCCGTCCTTTACTTGAGTTTGCAATTCCAGCTTCGAACCCTCATTTGGTGAAAGATGAACAAATTATTGAGCTAATACAGCACAGAGCCACAAAAATAAACAAACTGGAAAAATTAGACTAGAAGTCCAGATGTTTACAACTTGGTCTATCTACTCTAGTTAAAAGTCCTAAACGAGTTGACCTCATTTAAAAATACAAAATTGTTAATAATATTGACATAGTCAACTGGCACTTTCTCCTCATCACAATTCCTACCAAGAACAAATCACAGAGAAAGACTTCATCATGAAAAATACAGCAACCATTTAGCTCGCTTCCAATTTTTAACAATCGCATTGTCAATGCATGGAACATGCTACTAGATAAAGTAATCAGTTCTCCAACTGTCAACAGCTTTAAAGCAAGCCTCGATAAGCTCTAATGTTACTACAGCTCACAGCTTTCCTAGTGAATATTGCAACATAAGCTTCACAAAAACTAACTGTAATCTGACAATCTATGATTTGTGTTTTGTCAATTATTTTTATTTTTGTTATAACAAATATATACTATATACTATGGTTCTACCACTTAAAATATATTCGAGTGTATGTTGAATT